GTAAAAAGTATTCTATGTTCGTCTCGTGGTTCTAAGCTACCTCGATCCGATATCTCTCGATCGAAAAATATACCTCAAATCGATTTAGTCGTTCTTCAGTTATAAATAGTGTAACCAACACGACTTTCTTTTAGAAATTGTATACCTATATATTATTTGGAGATCAGAGGTATATTTTTGTTGAGTAAATAAGTAGTGTTAAGTTTATTAAAAAAAAAACGTTACCCTGCACCAGAATTTTCTCTGTCTCATGGTTGCCTTTACAAATATATAAGTTCACATACATATGTCACTCAGACGAATCAACATTTTGTGGATCTCACAATCCGTGCGGGAATCGAAACCGCTACACGTTACCCTGCCACAGCACCAGCCGTGCAGTTTGTTAATGAAGCATATACATACGTAAGTAACTCATTTATACAATGCTAGATTATATTATTACTGATAGTACCTACATACGGTATAATTATTCGCTGCCGAAATTGGGAACCGTTGCAACTACTTTGAAGATGGAGAGGGTATGATTAAGGTTTTCGCAATGGATATTTAAACGCACCTGATGCTCACTTCAGTTGAAATCAGAGAAACCCTCGTAAGATTGGTCGCACATTGTGGGTGGTGGTTCTTGGGCCAAGCAAAACATTATTGAGGTTTGGGTTTAACTATCATTATTAGGGACGATTTTTAAATCATCAGTTAATTTTTAACCGACTTCAAAAAAATCAGGAGGTTCTCAATTCGACCACATATATGCTTTTTTAACTATACAATAAAATTGACATTAGACCGTTTTTAGTATGGAAGAATTGTCAAATTTTCAATGTTATTTTTCAAAAAAAATTATCTCGCTTTGGATAAATCGGCCCTTAGTAGACTAAGTTTTAAGAAGAATTATACTTAATTATAATTAAGAGGTTCGGAAAAATACAATTGCGTATTTTAAATATGTATTGTAAATTATACTGTAGGTTAAATTCATGACACATCACAAAAATTACCATCATGTTCTATGGAATATGAATAATTACGAAATAACCATCATGTTCTATGGTATCTATCATGTGTTTATGGTATGCCTTGGTTAAAAATAAATATATACCAGACTTATATAATGTGTCGGTAAAGTTAAATGCACGGATAGCTTTATGCAATTAGTATAAGGAGAATCTTGAAGTGTGTTTGATTCCAAGGCAAGCAATTACCCCTTTCCTTATGACTTCATATTCAGAGTGTCGTTGTCCGCATATCAAATTGAACCCCTCCTTCAAGGAGTCAAGGAGGCAGCTTTATTACTGCATGGTAGATCACCCTAATAGAATTTCAACCTTATTACTAACGGTTAAGAATTATATTTCATTCTATATTTCTGATTCTACCTCGATAGATCCGGAATTTGAATTGCATCATTCAAACATTTATTTTCCATGGTCTTGCTTATAAACTATTATACTTAATTAAATTATAATGTAACAGTTTTCGTGGAATGTACATTTTGTGAACTATTATATAGAAGGCTTCATAGAAAATTGTGAACAATCCTTTTCATCATCCTCACCAGCCTATTTTGAGTTGTTGATTTTAAAATTTTAATTAGGAATTATAAGCGGGTTTCTTACTTACTATGGTTTCCTTCACCATTTGGCAATGGTGTCTAAATAATCTAAAAAAGTACATAATATATCTTATATCTTAATTTTAAAGAATTATTATTAGCTTTTTTTATGTACCTAATCAATATTAATGTTTAATAAAGTCCGTTAGCCCCATTACAAACTTGCTACCATACTCACATAAAAAGACATTTTGCAAAAACTAACAATTAAAATTGTGTTCCTAAAATAACTAACTTATGTCGTTACAATATTAGGGACTAATAATCGAATAAGTAAATTTAATTGATTAAATAGCAAGAGTAACAGTGAATAACCTAATCAGTAACAGAATACCCGTTGAATAATTAACGATGGACAGTTAATAATTCACTGGATGTGCTGTCACAAAGCAATATACCACGGAGGAGACATCCGATCACAAACGCTCCATAATTTATTGAAGATCAACTCAAGATCGACCTCCTGTTAAGATCTATGACGATAGTTGCCACGATATAGTACGTAGCATGACTCCTGAAATATCTAGAAGGAAAAGGTAGACGTACATACATATTATGTATGTATTATTTTTTATATTGTACTAGCTACTTCCGCGCGATTTCACACACTCTGGTCAGCTCCTATTGGTCGTAGCGTGACGTTTTATAGCCTATAGCCTCTCGATAAATGCTCTATCTAACACAAAAAGAATTATTCAAATCAGACTTGTAGTTCCGAAGATTAGCGCGTTCAAACAAACAAACAAAAAAACAAACTCTTCAGCTTTATAATATTATTATAAGTATAGATAAGAATCCTTTAATCATAACCAATGTTACTTATTTTGGCTTCGCTTAGGTGTAGTTCCCTAATAAGACTTCTTCGTGAATTTGTTAAAGAATTTGTATAATAAACACAACTAACAACAAAAAATATGGTGATCCATAATATTATGCTTTGCTAAAAAGGCATGATTCAATGAACCTAACTTATTGAAAAAATGGTAAGCATCGTGTGGGTGGATGAAAACTTTTAAGATATGAGTCACAATCTTCAGGCACAGTTTCTTTAAGAAGATTTGTGATTTACACTAATGATATGAATGATTCATCTAAATATCAAAGAACTATGTTAGAATACGATCCGCGCGCGCCGCAAAAACTCATCACACCGCCACGGATGGGGCCAATAGTGCTGATGACGATACGGACCCGCGGAGGACTATATAAACAGGTTGCCGGGGCTACGGCTCGAAGTGCAGGAGTAGGCACGAGGTGGTATTTAGTCAGTAAGAAATTCCTTCCCGCCTCACACGGGTGGGAGAAGTCATTTGATGATCTACCCATTTAATAAATACTAAGGAAACTTTTAGTTCAAGGGTGGTTTAGAGGTGTTTTGTCAAAATGACCATTTTAATGTAACAAACGATGTATGTAACACTGTCTTAGAATATCTATTACACTTCTAATAGTTGTATCCTCTTGGCAATAAAATGTGGACTTTTATGAATGTACAATTAATAGTTTTATAACGGAATTAGAAGGTGGCTAACATACCCTTAGACTACTTATTAGTAAACATGAAGAGTACATAATATATTGAAAAGATAATTTTTATACTGCCTCGTTAGCCGAGTGGTCGCATGCGACTGCCGGGCAATGGGTCTCGGGTTCGATTCCCGGGTCGAGCAAAGTATTACTGGGTTTAAAAAAAATCTTAGTAGTAGCACGGAGTCTGGAATTGTGCCCGGTATATGGCAATAGGCTCACCCCTATTACATGGGACTTATAACATAAACAGTGAGAAGTGGGTGTTACATTGTACAATGGTATAATGTGCACCTCTGCCTACCCCTTCTGGGATAAAAGGCGTGATGTTATGATGTTATGTAGAATTTTTATAATTATGTTTTTCGGCTTACACCCGCAATTATTTAACAAGGAACGCGACTTGTTTCAACTCAGTAAGCCGAAAAACAAAATAATTAATTTAGTATGTCTCACGAAAGTTATAATATAAATAGAGAATTTTTAGTTTATTATAGCAGACATTTTAAACTTTACCCATTGAAATAATTAAATCATTATCAAACGTAAACTACGTTAAAGTTATGAAATGTTAAACCACATTCGCAATAATTATCTGGTACTGGAACGTAATTATGTACAGTATATTTGGAACTATATGTACACACATAAAGACTCGTAAACTAATGCTTGGTGATTCCGGAAGTAAGTACGTGTTACTTCGTATATTAATTATGAAATTCCACAGAACACATGCCATCACCGTTTCTATTTTATGAAGAGTATTGTACACCCAGTTTTCGCAAGTTGAGTTAGATATTTAGTATATGCGTAACAGCCTTTAACTGAACGAGTTTTTTGTCGAAAAAATTTGTTTCAAGTTTCTTTCTATGAACCAATGAGGAGCGGTCTGTTTCCCAAAGGATATAATCCTGTCTTTAAGGCCCGAGTGAACGGGTTGCTTATGAGTAGACATGCTCCATCATATGGCTGTATTGCTTTGCTTACCTCGCCCACTGACGAGAAAGCGTTATATATATATATATATATAAGGGGCTATATATATAAGTCTAGAGTTTATATATATATATATATAAAAACTCTAGACAACTTTTGACTAGTTGACAAACGAGACAAAAAGACTCAAAGAGTCTATCATAAATTTCAATCTAGATATAGGAAACTCCATAACTGTAATTTATAAAAATAGATACTTAAACCTTGTATATATTATACAATGTTTAATAATTTCCAAGTTCTTAAAAATAAATATGTTAATTATATAATATTTTGTTCTATGAATGTTTCCTATATGGTGCAGGAAATGAATATTAATTTTAATTTTTTTTTCCGTATACGAATCAGATGATCATAATAATATGATTATGTACGATACTCTCATAATAACTACCGTCTTCTTAGAATTTGAAACTTGCTTATTTAATTATTTTACGTTATTTTATTATAGAGATACTAAACAAAAATTTCTCAAAAGCCTATCGCATTTTCTAACACTGTTTGATCTTTACAATGATAATCACAACTATTTTGTATTAATCTATATATTATACATTACGGAATCAATATTCAGTGATGATCATGAGTGTTACTAAAAAAGTTGTGATTTTATTTAAAGTAATTCACAAGACGTGTTAAACACATATTAATATGTGACGCAAATTGTAAAAATTGGTCAGGAAGCAAATTAATGTGATACCTTCGTGGTGATCGTTATACATAGTTAAAAAAAAAACAATTTGAATGTCGCTGCAACTAGTTCCTTTTGCCAGGAAGTACCTTCAGGGTTATCGGTTATTCCGTAGTTATTAAGATTGTCGCGATGTAGGTAGAGCACCTGATTCTTGGTTTAGTTAGTAAAATGCGGAGCTCGAGTGGAGTCGCCCTGGCCCGAGCACTTTCGGCAATTCTTAGGTGAGAATGAAGTGACTTTGTTATGTTCTTTTTTTATATTAGTTAACTTGTGTTGTGACGTTGGTGCGTGTATTTAATTGTTGTTATAATTATCGTGAGACAGTGTATTTTAGTGTTAATTTTTTCTGTGTTATCGTAAAAATAAATTTAATTAACAATTCATATGGTTCAAAAATAATATTGTACTTGAAATTAATTTAGTATTATTCAATGTAGCTTAGTCACATTTTTTAATTATTTATCATATTGTTATCTATTTAGCTTGCTGTCGGTAGTAAGCGGGAGTGTCGGAGTAGGCCGCAGGGTGAGCAAGTACTCCTTCCCAGATGATTTTATGTTCGGGGTATCGACGGCCGCATTTCAAATTGAAGGAGGATGGAACGAAGGGGGTAAGATTCAATTTTTTTTTAATTATTTTTAATCTTATATTGATTATTTTGTTCTTGTTCGTGACGTGCGTAATCTGATTCTGTTTTTCGATAACTAAATAATGTAGACAAGTTTTTTTTAATATTCCGAGCGAAATTTAGTTTCGATGAAGTTTTTTTTATTTGGCTTGAGACTAAGCAGATCTATTAGAGTCTAGAGAAATATAAAGAGTTGAGTTACACATAGGATGTTATGAAATTAATTAGCAATTTTCTTTCTCTATAAAAGTAGACCTTTTTAACTTTAACCACGTAAATCATAGTGTTTGGTACTAAAGGTGTATCTAAGGACTGCCACTATGGGAAATATAATAACAGGATTATATTGCTTATACTATGAAAAATTAGGGTCATTGTTTGACAACATAATAATCAGGTAGTTTACTGTTGTGCATTTCGCAGAAATATATTGTTACTAGCTTCTGCCCGCGACTTCGTACGTGCAATCTTGTTTATGTATCCCGTTCCCGTATAATTATCAGGATTTTTTTCTGTAATAAGAACTTTCTCCTGACAATAACAAACATAACAAAAAAAAAATCAACCAAATCGATCTAGCCGTTCTCAAGTTATGGCGTGACAACGGGAAACGGGTTTCATTTTTATACATATAGATTAGTGACTATTGTACACATAACTAATTAGTACCCGCAAATAGACTTGTCAGAAGAATTAGTATTATTTATTATTTATTACATATTTGAACACGATATTGTCAATATACATATTATATTATTTTGATAAGTCATTATGTTTTCTAAGAAAAGTCTCGCTTGGATAATGAACCAACTTCAAAAAAGATGGTAGGTACTTGATTTGACATGTATATATTATATAACTGTACACATATTTGTCCGTAATTATGTTATGATAGGCTGAACTGATTTGGACGCAATTTTCAGAAAATATTTGTTATATTTAATAGTAGGTTTTAATATATTAACCGAAGTTTCAATTGACTTTGACAAACATGTCGAATTGTGAAATAACATAATACAAATATTCCTTAAGGTAATGAAATATATTGTATAGACCTAATAAGTACATTATAGAGGTATATGTAATATATTTTTTATCCTGATGAGTACGATAATATTTTTAAAGTAATTTCTACTTACCGTGTGATTTGCGACAAACGCAGTTAAAATGGGGTTACATTTTAACTGCGGTCTCTAACTTTATCTTGCTTACCTTGCGTGGAGATATGACGATCCCCTCTTTTGTAAAGGAGGCCCATTGTCCTGCAGTGCCTTCTTACAGTCTGTTAATGATTGTGATGTGTCATCTAAAGAGCTTATACTTCCAACCAGCTCTGATGGTACAAAAGTCTTGCTCGACTTCTACTTATCATGACAATTAGCACGGTGTCTGGTCAACCGGATGCCGCATAACATGTCGCGGGTTCGATTCCCGCACGGAACAACTCTGTGTGATCCACAAATGGTTGTTCCGTATCTGGGTGTCATGTGTATGTGAACTTGTATGTTTGTAGCGGCACCCATGCATCGGCACACAGGAAAAACTCCTGTGGGGTAAGATTTAAAAAATACCGTGATGTACAGCTTATAATCTTCCTAGGACGACTAATACATAATTATCAAATTCGAAACTGTAATTCTGGAGATGAGAGCGTTCAAACAAACAAAGAGTCTCTTCAGCTCATACATATTGAAAGTTTAGATAATTTATAGTAAGTATACCTATACATAATTGTATTTTTTTCACAGGAAAAGGAGAAAGTATGTGGGATACGTATGTACACAAGCATCCAGAATATACAGCTGATCGTTCGAATGGTGATGTAGCAGCTGACTCCTACCATTTGTTTATGGATGATATTGACATGATCAAAAGTATGGGAGTCGATCACTATAGGCTGTCTATTTCATGGCCAAGGTGAATTTTTTTTACATTTATAATTTAATAGTTATACATGAATAATGTAGATATTACTTTTGTGAAAATAGGTGTTACCATTTTTTTTTTTACTTTGCCCTTCTGGATTTAACTATGTAATTCCTTACTTGTTAAAATTTATTCTTATCAATAATTTTGTGTATGTAGGTACGTCTGTTTTTGATTCGTCTGTGTGATTTGTCTTCGAAACTATTTTTATAATTAGCAGACCCAGGAGCTTAATTATTTTCTGAAAAGTAAATCTTCTAATGGCACCTGAAATATTTTAAAAATCAGTTCTGTAGTTTCGAAGCGTACAAACAAACAATAGTAACTTTAGTCTGTGTAATATTTGTATAGGTGAAATAATATCCATATGTTAATAGTTTATTGATCTTTAGAAAAATATTCCAATACGCGTTACGCCAATAAAATTCAAGGCCTTTTCTTTGTGATATTAAAATCTCAATAAATATCAATATTTATTACAGTTAGTAAATGTGATTTTGTTAAACAAAGTTATTTAAGAAATTTGCATTTAGATAGCTAAGTTGTAGGGGCGTGATGACGTCAGCGATTTTGTTTTGTGATCCTATTTCGATACGATTGCCAATTAACTCGCGTTCACCTACATGCAAGGCCGGTGATAATAATTTCTAATTTTATTCATATTTAGAAGATTTTAATTCAATTATATATTAAAATATTTTGTTTTCAAAGTGAGAACTGTATGGAGAAAGGACTATTAAAAAATCATTTTATTATTGATTTGTTTGTCGTCGTTTCTGCATCTATTTTAGCTTATTTCTCTGCTAACCTTATTTGATTACTATGTACATAAAAATTTCAGTAAAAGCAAATGACCTTCGGAATGTTCTAACTGTCCTAATTTCAGTGGTTTAAATTAAAACTAATTAGTTTTCTTAGTGACTTTACAAGTGTAAATAATATACATGTATATACATATAATACATAATACAAATGTAAATTCACCAAATAGCAAAACGAACAAAGATGGGACCAAAAAATATTTACATTGTTAAACATTATAAAGAACAAAACAGTTATTGTTAAAAGCAATGTAAGTAGGTAACTAACTATAGTTTCTTGACCATTTCATCATTATTTACAAAAATAAACGATTTGAACCTCGAATTAAAATAATTATAACATAAATAATTATATTGATAACTCAAAGAAAGCTGTAGGTACTTTGACTTAAAAATAAGCAGTTTAGAGTTGACATTCAATAAAATCTGGCCCTCCTTCTCGCCTAACCCAAAGCGGCAGAAGTCATTGTATGATTTTCCCCCCTGTAAAAACAGGGTTGACTTTGACTACCAAAACGTTGGAATCCAATAAAATTCTTTAATATTGGATTCCAAATGACAATGCCAGATCCTGACCCAGTCATACTATCATTTACAAAAAAAAAGTAAATTGATGAAAATAATTTTGACGAATATGAAACCTTTTCACAATAAATACTTTTATTTTTAAACTTGCGGTTTACAATTTAATAAAAAAAAATAGTATTATCCCGGAAATACTTTTTTACAATGCGCATTCCATATTGTCTAATGACTTTTGCGTTACATCATACGCATCGCTTGTTCGAAACTATGAAAATAAAAAAGCAAGTAACTGTAAAAAAGATATCATTGTACAAAAATATGATAGCAAAAGTATAATCATGTATAACATTTATTTATTTATTAATAATTACAGATGAAATCACGAAAATATAAAAGAAACGATTACTATCATTAGTTATGATTTTTTTGTGTAACGAAACGTTTTGAAGCGCTCGTCAGCTGTCAGCTGTCAGTGTCAATGTTATCTTTCATTCGCTCTTTGCGTTTCCGTTGTTTTTGCGTTATGTATCATTATTGATTTGTGTATTAAACAAAGACTGCAAGTTTTACAGGTTTCAGGACAAATGTTTATGTATCGGCAATTAATACACTACACGATGCTAAATACTGCATACTTGTACATGACTTTTAATATAGTGGGTCAAAGATGTACTGAGTACCTGGCATTGTCCTTTAATCGGATTAAAAAAAAACAAACTTAAATATTAATTAAAAGTTGCTGTCGACTATCATACATATCTAATTGAATTACTTTTGTTTTAGAATTCTCCCTAACGCTACGGACAACAATATAAGCTATGAAGGTGCAAAGTATTACCGTACTTTGTTCAAAGAGCTCCTAAAAGTTAACATCACTCCTGTAGTCACACTGTTCCACTGGGACATGCCCACGCCACTAATGGACCTCGGCGGTTGGAGCAACCCCGCAATAGTTGATTTCTTTGAGGACTACGCTAGAGTCGCATTCAATCTGTATGGAGATTTAGTTAAAATATGGACAACTATAAACGAACCTCATCAGCATTGTTATAATGTAAGTTGTAAATATATATAATAATGGACGTTACATAATAATGTATAAGTTATATACGTATATAACTATTTATTATGTTATGTAAGTTCGTATTTATATAACATAACATAACACAACAGTACATATCGGTACTTAATGCTACTGTACAATGTAACACCCACTTTTCACTATTTATGTTATGAGTCTCATGTAATAGGGGGTGAGCCTATTGCCATATACATTTAGAGATTTTTAAAAACCCAGTAATACTTTTCCCAACCCGGGAATTGAACCCGATACCCTTTGCCCGGCAGTCGCACTTGCGACCACTCGGCCAACGAGGCAGTCTATATACGTATTTTTAAGTAGATAATTGAGTTTACTTAAAAATAATTATTATAGAATATATTGATATCCATATAGAAATAATCTAAACTAGAGGTAATTTATAGACAGATACCTATATTAACTAAATAATAAATAACTAGGGCTAAAATAAATAAAAACTAAAGTATTTACAATTAAATTGACATAAGGAATATAGAAAAATAGGATAGGAAAAAACAAGAAAACCTAACTTAATGCATCAATAAAATTATTCTCAACATTGTCATGAGGTAAGGAGCCCAAAAGACACATAATTATAAGTTTTTTTTCTAATTTAGAATCTAAATTAGTTTGTTCTCATAAAAAAACACATATTGTACTACATGACACACAAATAAAATATATTTACCTATAGTGGAGCCAGTTTTCGATGATCTTATTAGTATCATTGTAACATGTATCGGTTCGAATCAATCAACAATATACAATTTTTTTTTATTATTAAACAATAAGGTTGATTTATGTAAACAGTTAATACACTGATTATCTAAATAACTACTTTTAAATACAATATAGTTAAATAAATACGTCATGAGTACAATGTAAAGGACGACTCAACTGCGTATTTTATTATCATTATTTTATCTTGTTTCTAAACTGTGAAAATACATAATATTGCACTGGCTTATTCTTGTCAATACAATTTAATCATTTTATCTTCTTCTCATTATTATCTGATTCTGAAATAACGTAAGATGTATGTATATATGCCAATAAACCTATTTAGAGTTTGTTCAACCGACTTTATGGTGTATTTCATAGTCATAAAATATTCATACATTTATTGATTGTCTTACACCTGTATACTGAAATGCTGGTCAATTTTAAGTTATATCTAAATAACGTATAAACGTATAAGGGGTAGCTCCCTATCATTTTATAAAGGATTTCAAATTGACAGAACTATTCTTGTGAGCATCTAAACATTGGGTTGCATTTGAGTCTTGGACCATAAGTCTGAACAAAACTAAAGGTACTTTACAATTTAAAATAATGTTGTGTTTCAAAATAGCATGACAAAAGCGTTCCATTGAGCATGCTCAAAAATGCTCAAAAATCGAACGCATCTCTGTTCGCAAACATGCGTGAAATGATAATGGGGATGATGACAGGGTATGAAAATTAAAAATATAATTAGTCCGTAAGTTAGGTAATGAAAAAATATTAGACACGTATTTTTTTATTTTGTCGTATAATAAAACAATACTTAGATAAAACGAATCAAAGTTTAGGAGTGGGGGCTAAAACGTCATTTCTTAGTATAAAATGTACCGAGAAGTGACGTCACGCGACATTTCAAATCAATATATCTTCGAAACTATTCGTTTCTGTGAGAAAATAAAAAATACGTGTCTAATGTTTTTAAATAATCTATCAGACGGACATTAAAATAAAAATTAGTCGTCTACCCTATTGTAATTTGATCCAACATTCCAAAACCCATGCTATCAAGTGATAAGTACTCAACTGAAGCATGCTTTCGTGCTTGATATTAGCATGGGTAACAGTACCTTTAATCCTGAAAAATCTCCGTTAAAAATACTTGCAAGAATACCTCTATAATACCATTATTTAAACTGTGATAAACAAAATCATTTTAAACATAATAAATTGAAAAATTGTGACTATATTTACTTGACCTTGGGAATAAAATACTATCTGACATTTATTTGTAAGCAATTCAATCATATATAGAAATGAATTGCTATTCGTTAGTCTCGCTAAAACTCGAAAACGGCTGGACAAATTTGGCTAATTTTGGTCTTGAAATTTTAGTGGAAGTCCAGCGAAGTTTTTAAGGGTTTGTAAAAATTTTAAAGGGAAACAACAATTTGAGGAGATACGAAGTTGACCAGGTCAGCTAGTTATGAATAAATATACAAGTTAAAAGTAACTAAAATAGGGAATAAAAATAACACAAGATAAAGATATAAATCTTAACCTTTTTGTGTCACAGGGTTATGGCAAAGATTACTTTGTACCAGCATTGAAGTCACATGGAATCGGCGAGTACTTATGCAGTCACTACATTCTATTAGCCCATGCTCGGGTTTACCACTTATATCAAAGGGAATTCAAACCTTATCAAAATGGTACACAGATTAATTTTCTAAGCACTTTCTCATATAATCGTTCACTTTCGTTTTATTGTCGCATTGTTTTGTGTTAATCTATAGGTAATGAATCCGTTCAACCAATGTTTTACAAGCGACGTCTAATCTTTTATCACCCACAATGTTATCTCCTTTTGTAATTAATTGTATTAATTTGAAAACATTGTTGCTTTTAATTAACTGTCTGGCAAAATGTTTACAATTACTTTGATAAAGCACCTTTAGCTATTTATGGGTCATCATGGAAATTATGGCATGATTTTTAATTAAAAGTTGTGTTTCAGGGATGGTCGGTATAACTCTTGATGCGTTTTGGGCTGATCCCAAAGATCCTAATAAACCTGAAGACGTTGAAGCTGCGGAAAACTATCTACAAATGCATGTGAGTTGTAAACAAAATTCTAATTAAATTTGTTTCACTTGAATGATATCTAGTAACAAATCAATATACAAAAAATAAATTTATTTTCAAAAAGTATAAACTTTTAAGTAGTTTTTGTATTATAACTTTCGTGAGACATACTAAATAAATTATTATGTTTTCGGCTTACTCACGTAATTAGTAGCAGCGCGACAGTCGCCGCGTTGCAGGTCGCGAAATTTTGCTCACGAATGAGCCTCTAGCATGGCTTGAAACTAGTCAAGTTCCTCGTCAAATAATTATGTAAGTAAGCCAAAAAACAATAATTTATTTAAAGTACTTTTAAGAAGAAGAGGAAATTTAGGACATTTTTGGTATGAGAAAAACTGCAGACAAAGGCTTGTATAGTACGTAGGATGCATGTGTGTTGTATTTGGATAAAGATATGACTCACGTCACTTCAAACTGCAAAAACCATTTTCGCTAATAAGGCTCGATGAAGATACATTTACACAATAATATTCTTAATTGGTTGTGTTCCATATCCCTTAGTAATGGTTTTTGAGTTTATTGAACTCGAAATGATCGTCACATTTTAATTTTGTAACAAAAATACGTTTTTGTTATACATTTTAATTTCTTGTTTTACTTTATCAGCTGGGAATATACGCGCACCCAATATTCTCGGATTTCGGCGATTATCCAAGTTTTGTTCGTGAACGAGTGAACAATATGAGTAGTCTACAAGGATACTCAAGGTCACGTCTTCCGTACTTCTCAGATGACGAGGTTTGTACTTAAATATAATAATTTAAAAAATATTTTTCTGTGGGTTTGGACTTATTCTTTAATTATGCTTAACACGATGTCATCTTCAATTTGAAAATTAACTAGGTATGGTATCATTGAAAGAAATACATACAAAAGGGAAAAAAACTACTGTCAACGGTTCTCGTGATTCTATGTTTAGTCATACATATATAGTAGGACATTGAACAAGCTGGCTAATAAACAGCAGTCAGAAGTTGACATTATGCTTGATATTTCCGCTGTTACAACAATTTTCACTCAAGGGATAATTTTGTATCACCTTTTTTTGAGGGGGAAAATCATCCAATGTCTTCTCCCGCCTTGGGTTAAGCGAGAGGGAGTGTCAGACTCTTGCTGACTAAAAACCACCCCGTTCCTACTCCTGCTCTTCGAGCCGGAGCCCCGGCAACCCGTTAGGCCTTCCGCGGCTTAACCTACCATAACTTAGAGCTTTATGCCTATGAATTGTTTTGTGTTATAATTTACCTAGAAAATACTTAGGCTTCCTAAGAAATTATTATCAAGTCATCTATGTATGTCGGGAGAACAACTTCATTATTTAAATGTAAATAATTTACCAAATATGTTTACAAACACATGCAAACATTGAAATAAAATTTTGTATACCATATTTATAATCCTTTCAGATCAAGATGCTTCGAGGAAGTGCAGATTTCTTTGGCCTTAATCACTATACGACATTTTTAATGAGTCCATCAACGATGGAGCCGGATTGGGATATTCCCTCTCTGGACCATGACACTGGGGTCAAAATGGAGCAAAATCTATCCTGGCCAAGGCCTGGTGCTGATTGGCTTACGGTAAGTACTTTAATATTTGTTGTTGAGGGTTCGGTACCAGAAGGGGTAAGACGGGTATTTATTACTAAGACTCCGCTGTCTATCTGTCTGCTTGTATCTCATAAGTCGTTATAAAAAAAAAAAATATTTAAGGGAGGCTCTCAGACAATGGAGTTGACTTTAATGCTGTTTATTTCTCGAGTGATTGTCCTTCGTACGTGAGTCCGATGTTTGATGATGATGAAATAAATGTTCTTAATTAATATTAAACGTTCGTAAAGCATTTATATAACTACATAAATATTTACAACTTAAAATTAACTACAACTAAACTATTAAATAAAAAGAAAGTAAAAGAAAACAACAAAAATTATACCCTTAATTTAGGCGTCAAAGTATTCGTCCGCATCACTATCACAGGGGAAAGTTTCCAGAAGACTGGCAGCATTGCCACGTTGAATGGCAATGCTTATTTTCTGTCCGAAGAAAAAGCCAGCCCTCTGGTCACGTGTAGAATCGATTAGCCTACGGGCGATGTCTTTAAACACAGAGTGTGCACTGGGACCCCATAACCCAAGTGTTTCGACCCCAAACGGCTCAAAACAGTATTCGTAAAGTATATGTACAAAAAAAGTTTCTGCTAGCAGCGTCCACCGCTATCCCTTTAGCTATTTTTAAGTAATCGAGTAACAAACATAACAAATATAAATGATTATTACGAATTACGTGTATGTTGTATAAACTGTCAGTCAGTGTATAATCCTACTGACCTACATCATGTGAGCAAAGCCAAGGTTATTCACACAACCAAGATTTACTTCCATTTTCATCATCATCAACAGCCTATAAACCTGCTGCTAAGTAAAGCCTCTTCTCACATGGAGAAGGTTCAAGCATTAATCACCATACTTGCTCAATGCGAATTGGCAATCACAAACTTATACGATGTTTCCCTCCCCGTGTGTCAGTGGTGTCTAGATAATCTTAGAAAGTACATATAACTCGGAAAAGTCATATTGGTACTTGCCGTTGGTAGGTTACGGACCCGCACCCTCATGCATGAGAAGTGAGCGTCTTAAGTCTCCGGGCCACCACGACTTTAATGTATACATTTTACTTGCAACATGCATATCTCTTAGTATACTAAAAGAAAACTTGCCATTTTTGAGCCAAATTACAAAATAATGTTCGTATCTTCCGCAGGTAAATCCACCAGGTTTTCGTAAACTAATTAATTGGATCGATAATAAGTATAATAGTTTGAAACGAATTCCTATCATTATAACTGAGAATGGAATGAGTGACAAAGGACAAACGGAGGACTATGAAAGGGTGTCGTATTTCAACGAATACTTAAACCAAGTCCTACTAGCGATGTACGAAGACGGCTGCAACGTCAAAGGTTACTTCAGCTGGACTCTCATGGACGATTTCGAATGGAATGATGGCTATACGTAAGTCACAATCTCTATCAATACTACAAATGTAAAAAAAAGTTAAGGAATAAACCGGAAAATGACCAGACGGATGACCTGATGGTAAGCAATTGGTGCCGTCCATGGACACTCAATACACTAGAGTTTGGTACAAGTACGAGGATTGAGGATTTGAGGATTGGAATATCGAGAGTTGGGGTGATTCGGGAGGGGGATAACTAAATGCTTTTTTAAACTAGGATTTTCTCCTGTGTCGTGGCCGTACGTTTACAAACATACAATTTCACATGAAGCCCAGACCCGAAACAACAATTTGTGGATTTCACAAAGGGTTGTTCCAAGAATCGAACCCGAAACATCTACACCTATAATACCTATTATGTATCTCATAATAATGGAAACAAGACAATTCTTTAAGTCACGTTTTAAGATGACGTCTGAATGAATTTAACTCGTCGAGTACCGGTTTTATAGACACAATTAAAGAACAATAGGTCGCGGTCACCGGTGACCGCTTGGTGTTTGACAGATTAACGTCATTTCTTATTTTACAAACCAAGGTTTTTCCACATTTTCCACGAATACATAACAATTAATTTTTTGCTTTGACAATGCTACCTCATTTTTAACCGACTTCGAAAGAAGAGGTGTTCGGTTTGACCTGCATGTTTAAACTTAACCTTTATATACAGTATAGTCTCATTTTTTATTTACATAGTACTAGAGTAAATAAAAAATGAGAATTTCACACTTTATCTCTTCGTACAATCAAGCTGCGAAGAATTGGTTAATGTTAGTTTATAGTAATTGGTAAAAACGTGATTTATAACCAGTTTACAAAATATTACACCCGTAAAAGGAACATTACACTAATAACAACTTATTTTTACAGGACAAAATTCGGCTTGTTCAAAGTGGATTTCGACAGTCCATTAAAAACGCGAACACCAAAGCTTTCTGCGCATAATTTCGCCAACATCGTGCGCACACGCCTCATTGACTTCGACTATATAAAACCGCCTTCAGAATTTAATAGATTACTTGAATAGATCCTGACCAATTTACATTTATTTATGACTCTAGTTGTAGTTTAATTTATGAATTAAATGTAAGCCACATGATTTATTTGTTTTATTTTAAACCAAAGAGTATTATAATCAAATAACATTAGGCAACTATCGTCCGAATATTTAAAGGCTAATTAATTTTAAGTTGTGCTTGCCATTGAGTTAGATCGTTTTTTTAAGTAACGATAACATCATGTATATTTTATCTACTTGTATACTAAAATATAATATCATGCCATCTCTATTATATTACAAACAAAATTGTAGTGACATAACTATAATTAAGCGCGACTTAAAATGGAGTGGTTTTTCGTTTTTAGTCTTCCCATAACTACGCAGTCGTGTCGTTTCACAATGACAGCAGAAATACTGAATATTTTAATTCTAAAAAATAATACAAAATGGTTATAATTAAACTATACAAAAATAAATACAAATAAAAAATACATTGAGTATGTTTTCAAAGTCTACATTACAGTGAAGTTTTATTATAATTAAACACATAATATTAATTATTGTTTTAAAAATGTGAGAATTTGGTTATTTTACACGTAAATTTTTAGGCATCAAGAAACATGGTACAGTTAATTAAAAAAAATAAAGTATAAGAAGATAGATTTTTTGTAAATTGTTTCGTTAACTGTTCTTTTAACAATTAATCTACTTCGTGGGATGTAAAACTAGGTCTGTGTTAAAGGAGAAAATTTTTATAGTACTGCGAAGAAAATAAAATACTTCCCGACACATATCTTAACATGTCTTCACCTAACGTAATAATTTCATTATCTACCAATTTTTTGAAAATGAACTTTCAGTATTGGATCATGATAGTTTTTTTACTGTAGCATTAATGCAATGAGTGAACCCATGTATAAATATCACATTATGGGCTTCAATAACGATCTCCGGTCACCGTAAGCGCGGGCCTGCGGACGGCGAGCATGGGTGGTTCCCCGTCCGACCAGAAACAGACCCGAGCGTACGGCGCGTCGCGTTCCGCACGCGCCTCAAAGAGCCATCAGACCACCACAGATCCCCGGGGACCAATAGGGCCGATGCCGATTCGGAGTCGCGGAGAACCTAACGGGTAACCAGGGCTCCGGCTCGACGTGCAGGAGAAGGAACAGGGTGGTTTTTAGTCAGTATGAGTCTCACACTCCCTTCCGCCTAACCCAGGCGGGAGCAGTCATTCGATGATTTCCCCCTTAAAAAAAAAATGGGCTTCAATAGGGACTACCTTTTTTTTCTCACTAGATGGAACTAGTATGAACCTGTTGTCTTTTCGTCCAATAAGGAATTAGCTAATGTCACACCATTAGTCATTAAATTTTTAACAACTACAGTGATTGGACTAATAATTCTCTTATTAGATTCGCGCTATCTGATGGTTACTAAAACAGTACGATCATTTAGAGATGAAAGTAACAAAAAAAAAACTAAGTAACAATAAGGACCAGAGCTTAAAGACGCTTCTCATGCATGAGGGCGCGGCTCCGAATCCTATAAACGGCAAGTACCTATGTGACTTTCTCCAAGTTATTTTAGACACCACTGAAAAACGGTGAAAGACAACATCGTTATTTTTTTATGGCATAAGCCGGTGAACGAGCAGACGGATCACCTAATGGAAAGCAATCGGCGTCGCCCATGGACACCTGGAACACCAGAGGCGTTACAAGTGCGTTACCGGCCATTTGGGGATTAGGAGTTTGAGGATCGTTGGGGATTCAGGGATTGGGGAGAATGGGGAAGGGGAGGGTAATTGAGCCTCCGGTAACCTCACTCACACGACGAAACACAATGCAAGCGTTGGTTCACGTCGGTTTTCTGTGAGGCTGTGGTATCACTTCGGTCGAGCCGGCCCATTCGTGCCAAAGCATGGCTCTCCCACACTTAAAAGTTATCGTTAGAAAACCTGGGCTTATAATTTCTAACTATAAGTCTGAAATCGCCAACAGGCATTGAGCAAGCGTGGTGATTAATGCTTCTCCGTGTGGGAAGAGGCCTTTGGTTAGCAGTGGTTAATAGGCTGTTGATGTGATTTAAGTAAGAAAGAGTTGTCAAAGAGTGTTATACGATACATTTTGTAAAATTTTTGTTAACTATATCTTAGTTACTTGAATTTAAACTTGCTGACTGTACTGTAGAACACAACAAATGTAAGATTTTTCTTTGGGATGATTTTGAATGGTTTTTATATTATAATAAAGCAGCCAGTAGACTTCTCAATTAGTTTTTAGTTTATAAGCTATATTCAACCAGTGAAATCATGTTTATAGGAGTCATTTTAATAATTTTAAAGTACGTATGTTACCAAAGTGTTTAACCTTATTTTTTTGTCTTGATTAATATCTATTTTATTTATGTTTTGGTATTAATCTAAAAATCTGAATCTATATTTACTTAAATAATATAATTTATTTGTTAAACTTTAATATAATTAAACGGTAATTTATAGGTATCAATAATTTCTTAATTTCAATATAATTTTGTTTTGCTTGCTCCGGTTGTTTGCTTGTTTGGGTCAAATTTAGTAATTTGAATTTTACCTCTTTCTGACACACTCTTAATCTGATATTTGGTACACACACTTAAGCTTGATGACCGTCCATTATGGATATCAAATGAAAGGGCTTATGAGGGGGGGAAATCATCCAATGACTTCTCCCACCTTGGGTGGGACGAGAGGGAGTGTCAGACTGTTACTGAATAACCTCTTCGTTCCTACTCTTCAAGTCGAAGCCTTGGCAACCCGTTAATTCATCATCGTGGGGCATCAGCCCCACTAGACTAAATTAAACGGCTCGATTGATAGCATAGAGTAAAAAAAATAAAACCGAAAAACCGCCTAAAATATTTTTTTATGTAATTATTACTTATTGACTAATTAAATCGTCACCCTAGTATCATGCAGATAGGCAGTGGAAGATATTTAGAAACGGACAATAAAAAGAAAATATATTACTTTCCCGATGATTTCGCTTTCGGGGTATCAACGGCAGCATATCAGATAGAAGGCGCGTGGAATGAAGGAGGTAAGGCAATATGACTTCTTAATATGAATTTATACAAGGTGTAGTTTTGAAACCGTGTCTTTTCTCGAAGGCATATCACAGAAGTCATAAAGGTTCAATGGAATTTCAACTATTGAGTTAAAAATACGGCTCTAATAAATCATTTAAGTTCGACAGTATTTCAGAATAAGCGACAGCAATGTTTCTTATTGGAGTTTTATAAAATTAGGAATAATATCAATTACGTATTTAAGTTTGTGTGTGTTGAGCCGCGTTATAAAGCTAGTTACGAGACGACGGCGTGTACTTCCCACTTACGGATTTCCGTAATTTCAGCAAAATGAAAAATATTTACCTACAATTTTTTTATTGATTCGGACTCAGAATCGATATCCGAGTTACCTCCTAGAAAATGACGCAGCTTTAAAACAACACCTTGTATACGCCAAGCAATTAGTAAATGTAGAAGCTTGTAAACAAGCCAAGCAATTAGTAGATAAGGTATTATATAATGTGAGTTTATCTTCTTGCACGTTCTTAAAAAATCACCACATTCGTCGCTTCGTGTTCATGATTAGGTACAAAGATTTGCACTATTATTTTTTTTTTTTAATTCTGCATAAAAAATGTATATGTAAAAAAGAAATTAAAGTTTAAATGTATTTTCATTGACGTAAGTGCATTGTTTGGGTTTTAAATACGTAGAACGTATTATTGAATTTAATTACTTTGCGTTAATTGCACTGACAGCCAGAGGTGAATCATATCATGGAAATTATAATTACATAAACTGATTATATAATTAAATAGTGTTTAAGATAAGATAAACAATTAACACACGTAATTTAATGTGTATTTACACACGATACTAAACTACTTAATGCATGTAGGTAATAATAAGATGATCAACCTTGTCCAATGTATTAAAATTCGTTGGATTTTTACTTTAAGTCAATACAATAAAATTGAAGGTGTAATAAAGAAATATGACAAAAAAGTATAGGATACCTTACTACATTTTTGACCGTTTTGTTTGACTCGTATTTTGCATACCTACTCTCCATGAACTTAATCTTTATTTCATACTTTAAAATTCTAATGCATTGATGTCAATATTTATTTTTTTATTAAACAAAAAGGTACGTAACAAATATCTATAATTTCAAGGAAAAGGTGAAAGTATTTGGGATAAATATCTTCACGAGCATCCAAAATATACGAAAGATGGTTCGAACGCTGACATTGCAACAGATTCCTATCACAAATATATAGAAGACATTGAAATGATTAAGAAACTTGGCGTCAGATACTATCGCACTTCACTTTCTTGGCCTCGGTTTGTACCTTTTTATTTTTCTAAAAAAAAACGTCGTGCCACACTAGGATTTTCTCCTGTGTCGTGGGTGCGTTTACAAACATACAAGTTCACATACACATGACACCTAGACCCGGAACAACAATATGTGGATCACACAAAGAGTTGTTCCATGCGGGAATCGACACGTTGCGCGGCAGCCAGTTGCCCAGCCACCGCGCCAACCGTGCCGTCTTTATTTTATGTTTAGAGATTTTATTGTCACTATTAGCAGATGCGCCTATACCATACCTTAAGAGATTCAAATAAATACTGTATAGGTTAATTATTTGTTTAGATTCTTCTAAGAAATATTTTAACAAGGTATCTATTAAATAGCAGGCCAAATAATTATAACCCAAACTGTCGATGCTGTTTTCCAAAAGACATTGCATGCATTTTAATTTAATTTTTTAATTACTGTTCGAATTTAAGATAACTACGACATAGTATTTTTTTAAATATTCACAAAATTTCATCCAATCAAATATGAATGTCAGAACTATAGAGAATATTTTCTGCAGAATATTACCAGATGGGACGGATAACAAGATAAACAAAGAAGGAGTTTTACACTATAGGACGCTTTTCAAAGAACTGATTAAGGCCAACATAACTCCAGTTGTTACTCTATACCACTGGGACATGCCAACTATATTTGTAGACTTGGGTGGTTGGAGCAATCCTGTTTCAGTGGATTACTTTGAAGATTATGCACGAACGTCATTCCGACTTTTTGGTGACCTAGTAAAGTACTGGTTGACTGTGAATGAACCTCATCAGCATTGTGTTAGCGTAAGTATAATAGGCACTAGTTACATCGTATATGACTTTCTAAAATCTTTTAGAATTACGGAGTAACTTGTTTGGTCACAGTTTTATTAGGTCATGCCAACTTTCCTTTTTTTTCTCTGTCTAATCGCAGTTTTTGTATTAAGACTTACCTATTGCCTGTTTTCACTAAACTCTCCTAAATTTTAAGGAACCATTAGGCTAAAACAGGTAACTTTTATCGTTATTTTGGTGTTCATCAACCTCTTAGTGAAACCTAAGACTACAAGTAATGGGTTTGTTAAGGGGCTATGTCAAGCTAGGTACCATTTAGTTAAGAGATAATTTAGGAGTGTTTGGTGAAAATGGCCATAAGTGGACCACTCCTAGGTGAAGTCTACTTTCCTTGTATTATTTTAATACCACTTAATTACCAGATATTGTAGAGCTCATTGGTGCAGGTTACTTTTTAAATGTATTTTTGTTGCAGTCTTACGGTGGATCGACTATACCGGGCTTAAAATCACCTGGAGTGGCATTGTATCTCTGTACTCATAATATTCTTCTAGCACATGCTCGCGTGTATCATATTTATCACCAAGAATTTCGCGATGAACAAAAAGGTAAAAGACAGCCCTGTAATTAATTTTCAATTCAATGTTTTAAATCTTAAAATTCCTTTTCCATTACCATTTTAAGTTGTTATGTCGATTATGCGACGTGGATATATGTATGTGTGTAAAAACAGATATTTCCGTTGGTTATAGGAAAAATAACTTTATCCCTGGATTGTAATTGGAGTATGCCAAAACATAATGGGAGGCCAGAAGACCAGGAAGCCGCAGAGCGTCATCTAGAAATGCATGTAAGGATTGAGCAGTTTCATTATACAAATTATATGTAAGTTTCATTATATAACTGAGACTAACAACGTCATGTTCTGAGGGATGAGAAACGCACTTCATAAGGAAGTTACATATTTTTAATGCTTTTAGATTATTCAGAGATAGTGTACATATATTTGACTTTCAGCATTTTAAACTTGGCAGTTAAAGTGGTAAATGCCTTGCATTAAATACAATTCTGGTTTTAAGGTGGGAATGTTTGCTCATCCGATTTATTCAAAAACTGGTGACTATCCAGAATTAGTCCGACAGAGGATTGACAATGCTAGTCACGAAGAAGGATTCTCAAAGTCTCGTCTACCATATTTTACTGATGAACAGGTTTGTAAATTATGTCTACTTTCTGTAAAACCAATAAAATAATGTTCAATTTATATTAATCCTAAAATATCCTTTTTCATACATTTCAACATCACGTCTATGAGAATGTGAATGAATGAGGCATCGACTTTGGAATGTCAATTGCTACGACTCTTACATACCTCTTTCACATCAACAGTCATATGATCAATTTAGCCCTCTTTTAACTCGTCGAGTACCGGTTTTATAGACACAATTAAAGAACAATAGGTCGCGGTCACCGGTGACCGCTTGGTATTTGACAGTTTAATATAATATCGCCAATCTGGTCGATATGCGTACATTTTACAATTGATATAATTATCATTATGCCATTATTCCTTCATAAATATCAAGTATTTATCTCCAATCCCACTATGAACTACGAAACAACTTTCAAGTGAATACGTTAGTGAATTTATCGGATACAATCAGTACACTCCCGTTTTCGATATTATCGCTTGTCTTGTCTACTGCAACACTCGCCAATGAGGACAAGGTCGGGCTACAGTTTATGCAACATTTTGCTCCAATTTATTTACCAATCGATACTAGGTAGCTTTATCTTACGTATTACCGGAAAAGAAAGGCTTTTCTAAAAGTTGGTTCGATGTTTATTTATTTATTTATTTGAAAATTTACATATACAACACCACAGCTTACGCCATTAAGTTATACTGTTAATCTAATATAAATGCTATTATTTAGGTACTTAAAAACAAACTGATTAGGTAATCAAATACAAGAAATAAAAATTAATACAATACAGAAACAAAATTAACAAAAAAACAAAAAAAAACTATACGTTTGTATAACACATTTGGTAATTAGAGCAATTATTGTAACTTGACGCCAACATTAACATTATAATCAGCTACGTAATAGTATCATCCACCCCCTCATAAAATCTTAAACATTCACGACACATCTATCCATCTCATTGCAAATAAATCACACTCTGGTGCTGACATCAGGAGAGAATTGAGCATGGTGAGTACTCGGACCAGCGGAGAATTTGATGATGTTGATAAAAGTAACATTCGAAATAGTGTGAATGAAATAAAAATTAAATTTTTGTTATTATGGTTGTATTATCATCAACAGCCAGTGGGACTCTAGGCCTTCACTATCGAAGAAGGGATTATTCATAATTTGCACACATTTTAACCTTAAATGTTATTTAAAAATTTTTGACTCACCCTACGATTTTTTCCTGTGTACGTTTTTTTTTATCGTGGGTGAGTTTATAAATAAACAAGTTCACATACACATTTCAACCCAACTAACTTAGTTGGTTTAGTTCATTAGAGAGCGCAACCTAGCTACAGGAAGAGTTAAGACGGGAGAAAATGTGACAAAATGTGTACTGCTCTATCGTCAATTTTATTGGCATGATTATATGATGCCTACTACTTACATACTATAAATTACATTACAGTGCCACTTACCGTAAACACGGGCCTGCGGATGGCGAGCATTGGTAGCTCACCGTCCGACCAGAATCAGACCGTACAGCCGACAGTACGGCGCATCCTGTTCCTCGCGCGCCTCAAAGAGCCTTCAGACCACCACGGATAGGGCCTAATAGGGCTGACGTCGATACGGAGTCGCGGAGAACGTAAAAGGTTACCGGGGCTCCGGCTCGAAGTGCAGGAGTAAGAATAGGACGGTTTTTAGTCAGTATGAGTTTAATACTCCCTCTCGCCTCACCCGGACGGTAGAACTTTTGGATTAATTTCCCCTTCTCAAAAATCTAAAAAGTACATATATAATTTCATAGTAGAACTATGTATGATCCTTAGCCCTTTCTCTTACAGATTGAAGCTTTAAAAGGAAGTTCCGATTTCTTCAGCCTTAACCACTACACCACTTATTTGATAAGGGCTCCCTCTATCGAGGATGAATGGGAAATACCATCTTACGATCACGATACTGGTGTGAAAGTGGAACAAGATTTATCATGGTCTGTCCCAGGAGTTTCTTGGTTATCAGTAAGTACACGTTTATGTTTTTGGGACAGATTTCATTTGTTGGAGGTGATAATTATGTATGTATTATGTTATTGTTATATTGGTCTCTTTAAATACACATTTGAAATGACAGATACTATTGCATATTTACAAGATATACATAAATAAATATAATCAACACAATATAATACAATACAACATACATACGTACATAATATTGTGTTTCACATAGTCCCGTATAAAGCAGTTCTCTCTGTATCGTTTGTACGACCGTTAAAATAAAGGCAAATCTTTGTATGGTTCCTAGTTTTAAATTAGTTGCGTAAAATGTTAGAATCTCCTAAGTTATATTGCCTCAGAAATGCATTGGAATATATCTGAAGAAAGTTTAAATTATACTGTGAAAGTTACTTGAAGAAACGTATAATATACTAGCTTTTACCCACGGCTTTGCCCGCGTCTTTCTGTTTTATCCCATGAACTCCCTTGGGATAAAACATAATGCTATAATAATCAAAATGCTATCACCAAAGTACACCCATACCCTGCCTGTATACCAAATTTCAGTTCAGTGTCAGCGTGTTTGGCGGACGAACATTCAAACAAAGAAACTTTCACGTTTATAATATTAGTGTGATTTATGGGGTGTTTGTATAGTGTTAATCAGACTCCATGCTAATAGTTTGGCGCTATATTTGAAATGACAGGTAATCGAAGGTTTAAGATAAAACAAATTAGTATTGCGTCAGCATGTTTATATGAATACTAGCTTCTGCCCGCGACTTCGTACGCGCAATCCCGATATTTCCCTTTCCCGTTCTTGATTTTCGGTAAAAAGTAAAAAAAAAAGAATTGGGTAAAAAGTATCCTATGTCCGTCTCCTGGTTCTAAGCACCCCACCAATTTTCATCCAAATCGATTTAGCCATTCTTGAGTACTATAATATATATATATATATAGATTAACCTCTGACGCAATCAATAAATTGCTTAAGAATTGACTGATAATAACTGTAACATTACATAACTGTCATAAATCCTAATAATATTGTAGGTACAAACTTCTAACTAGGATTTCCACGAAGGATCAGACGAAGGTTTCGTGGAGTATCTAATTGCATTATATATAGAGTAACTATGTAATAGTTATAGGAAAGGATCCTTACAATATTGAAGACCTAGTTTCATTATAGTTCTGACAAATTTTGTACAAGATTTTCAGTTTAATTTAGAAATCTCAGAAGCTTCTACTTCGGTTCGAAAAAACTACTAACAATCTATACAGATAAATAAATTGAAATATCTATTTGTAATATTGAAATAACCGCTGTTTTATTACATGCATATTTGTATTTTTTTACTTTTTTTTGTATTTTTTTTCGGTTTGTCTGTCCGTCTTTCTGTCTGTCTGTTTGTCTGTTTGTACCGGCTAATATCTGAAATGGCGATTTCGAAAGGACTTTTATAGCTATGGTACCTACCAGTAAAAGTCCTTTAACTAAGGAATTACAAGGCTATTAATTTTTATTTTGGAAAATTGAAAAAAGTGAAGTCCTAAAACGCGGAGGAAGTCGCAGACTACAACAGCTAGTTTGTAGTATATACTTAAAACATTATCAACAGGTATATGCACCGGGTCTTAGGAAAATGATTAAATGGATAACGAAGAAATATGGCAATGAAATACCAATCATTGTTACCGAAAACGGTGTAAGTGATAGAGGACAGCTTGACGATTACGATCGAGTTTCATACTTTAATGAGTACCTATATGAATTGCTACTAGCGATACATGAGGATGGTAGTAACGTAAAGGGATACTTCGCTTGGAGCCTAATGGACAATTTTGAATGGGACGACGGTTATAGGTAAGATGCGTGTTGATTTTTATTTAAAGGACTGTATTATTTCATTGGAAGGGACAGGGAAAGTGTTTTGCTTAATTGAGTGTAGGCGTTTGAATTTTTGTACTAAGTTCTCTAAGTGGTTGAATGTAGAAAGTTGGTTTTATATTGTCTAGTTTACTTTATCTTCTAGCTGAATGCCTCGTTGGCCAAGTGGTCGCAAGTGTGACTGCCAGGGAAAGGGTCTCGGGTTCGATTCCCGGGCTGGCAATAGGCTCACCACCTGGGGCTCGTAACATAAATAGTGAAAAGTTGGTGTTACATTGTACCGTGACACACATGCACATCTGCCTACCCCTTAAAAGGCGTGATGTTATGTTACTAGCTGATCCAGCAAACATCCCTTTGAAACTGTCCCTAGACCTTCACAAACATTTCAAGACCAAAATGAGCCAAATCGGTTCAACCGTTCTCCAGTTTGAGCGAGACGTTTTAAACAGAAATATATTTTCATTTATATAAGTACGTAGATTAAGAAGTTATTATTAAAGTTTTATTTTAATATTAGGTATAATATTAAACTGCTGATTTATTATTTTTGCAGCCAGAAATTCGGTCTCTATAAAGTAGATTTCAATGATCCTAAACGCAAAAGAACCCCAAAGCTATCTGCAAAAATCTTCCATAATATCGTGTGTACACGAACAGTTGATTTCAATTTCTTAAAACCATCTCCGGAACCGCAGCTGCTTCTTGACTAATGTTTAATTAATAAGAATATCTGAATAAAAAAATTACTAATATCTGTAAAATCGTGTATGTTAATGTAAATTAAACTGTTGTCTATTAAAAATAAGATTGCATTTTATTTATTTGCGTTTTATTTCTTTTGTATCTTCATTTATTACACCTCATTATATCGACACATACTAATGTACAAGGTGGGCGTAATGCCTTAGGCATTCTCCTCCAGCCAGACCTTTATGTATGACCTTTACCTTTACCTACCTTTATTAGGTGATGCAGAGACAAAAACAATGGTCGATGCAAGAAGCAAGCGTATTTAAGAATCAACAGAAATACATGAAAAAGAATAGTATAGACTTACATAAAATAAATTCCTATATAAACTTACATGTATATGACACAATAATAAACTTACTGAATTATATTACATACTAGCTAGCCAGGCAAACTTCGTACCGCCTAAAACATATTTTTCTTACCTTTTAAACCTTCCCTGCACTTCCACGAACATTTCAAGACCAATTAGCCAAATCGGTCCAGCCGTTTTCAAGTTTTAGCGAGACTAACGAACGGCAATTCATTTTTATTTATATAGATTACAATATTATCGAAGGGCCTCCAATACATACGAAGGTCTTCCATTGCCTCTTATTTTGGGGCAGGTCAGAGTATGCAGTATAAGATTCAAGTGTATCAGAGATCGTTGCTGGTCCATCTGTCTCGGCGGGTATACACACGAATGAAGTAACTTAGTGACCTTTTAAGACATATCTGTCATAGTAGTTGTGACGTAATTCAATGTATTCGTTGTCGTCGCCATATAGCCTATAATTATTAATTCGCAGTATGCCGGAGCGTAGATCTACATGAAACAATACATTTTCTATTGTGTCTTAAATACAATACAAGAGGTTAATAGAACGAAGGAGTTTTTATTTAATTACTATCATAGTCAAACTGATTTCTAATGACTGGTATCCATACTTTAGTATACCTATTATCTACGATAATCTTAATTGCAGTATAATAATATCATGTTTATTCAAAACGTAAATAAACTGAGAGAGATATTAAAGGCGAGGCATTTCGTCATGCCTTGACGACCTTAGACAAAATACCAGGAACTGGATTGTTTCAGTAATGCGTGTTTTGTAGGCGTAACTTAACTTAGGATAATTTTACTCTGTGTATACTCAGGTACTTCTTTCGAACATTCATTATATATTTTTTTTATTTTTTGACAGAGGAGATAATGACAAATCCTCTAACTATAGAGAATGTTTTAATATCAAAAAATCCCTATCCCAATTTCAGAATAAAATATCGAGATTTTTTATTCGATTTTTATCAGATAGATCTCTGGCTCGACGTGCAGGAGAAGGAACAGGGTGGTTTTTCGTCAGTAAGAGTCTGACACTCTCTCCCGCCTCACCCAGGCGGGAGCAGTCATTCGATGATTTTCCCCCTTAAAAAAATACCTTTGTCGAATTACAATTTATTATCAACTCCTTTGTATTTAAAAGGCCCTGAGCCACCGATAGGTGAAAGCTTTTGAATGAAATTAGCCTTTAAATTGAAAATTCCTAGTAAAGGATATCAAGCAAGAAATTTCGACTAAAATGTTCGAAAATCTATAGGGAATACCTGGCATACGTAGGTAGTGGTTTCATGGAAACTGATGCGACATTCGTAATCCTTATGGAGCAAAAAATAAGGATCACTCAACCACTTTTGGGGCAAATGCTGATAAAAAGTCCATAAATACAGTTTTCGTAAGTAATATATTTAAAATTCTGACTGAAGTGTTTTTTTTCAACTGCTCTGCCCTGACTGCCTCGTTGCCCGAGTGGTTTCAAATGCGGCTGCCTGGCAAGGGGTCTCATGTGCGATTCCCGGGTCGGGGAGAAGCATTACTGGATTTAAAAAAAAGTTTCAGTAGTAGCACGGAGTCTGTAAATGTCCCCGGTATATGGCAATAGGCTCACCCCCTATTACATGGAACTCATAACATAAATAGTGAAAAGTGGGTGTTACATTGTACAGTGGTATAATGTGCACCTCTGCCTACCTCTTCGGGTATAAAAGGCGTGTTGTTATGTTATGTTTTTTTTTACATTAAGAGTCACAAAAATCTACAGTAGTAATCGCCTAATTTGCGGTTTAATTTATTGTGCGATACCACAAATAATCTTAACCTTCCAAAACCTCTCAAAATCCCAAACAATACAAGTTACAAATACTAAAGATAACAAGAAATACATGAACTTAACTAATAATTCAAACTACTTAGCAGCTTCAATAACAAAATCATAACTGTTCGGCGGTTGCAACAAACACCGAAGTGAGGACATTAATGGGAACCTGTTTACTCGACCAAACACAGTGGACCACTACCTAAATACGATCGTTTTACTACTAATTGCTTCTCTATTTAGTCGGTTAATAGACTTGCAACAAGTTCGCGGGTATTGTTGGCTCATTATCGCCTTTAAATGGCTGCGGTGGTCTAGTCTTTATCTTTGTGTTTTAAGTCAGGTTTGAGATTTCCTTTGTGCGAACTGTTTGCGATGTGCTGATTAAAAGATTTTCTTTATTAGCCTAGAGGCCACTAATTAGGTTCTAACATTTTTATTAATAAAAGGAAAATTGAGACAGAATTAAAAAAATCTTTCGTTTTTTTAAATCTTATAATAGGAAACTTAATTTAATAGGTTCCTCACGATTAACATTGCTTCACTAAGTACTGCCGCATACCTACTTCTAAATATGTCAAATATTTAAATGGAAATCTTTACCTCATCGAAGTTAAAGTGATAACTAGTTAGATGTAGTTAACTCGACGTCGATATTAAAGAAGACATAAGACCGACCCTTCATAAATAAATCATGTGTGTTCTTGCAAAACATTCAACAAAAACAATAACAACAACATCTTTAATCTGTCAAACACCGAGCGGTCACCGGTGACCGCGACCTATTGTTCTTTAATTGTGTCTATAAAACCGGTACTCGACGAGTTAAAACAAGTGACATATGACCAAGCCGCACAATTTATCCAATGCTGGCGCATAAATCAAAAACTCAATAGTTTCGAAGCCAAAGATACAGAACCTTCCTAACTTCGTTTTAGTTAGGTCAGCTATTTCTAAAGTTCACATTTCCTATTCTCTCACCCAGACGGCAATCGTTTTGTGAATCGAAATAGACTGCGATGTTCTGCATTGGGATTGGGATCCATATTAAAGTATTTACTCGTTTGTTTTCTAAAATAGACATTTTTGATACAGCGACCCAATTCCTATGAGTATTTTAATATTAATTTTGTTGAAGATTTTTTTATGGCATAAGCCGGTAAACTAGCAGACGGATCACCTGATGATAAGCAATCGGCGTCGCCCATGGACACCTGGAACACTAGAAGCGTTAAGAGTGTGTTACCGATCTTTTGGGGATTACAGATTTGAGGATTGTTGGGATTCAGGGATTGGGGATTGGGCTGAATATGTGTATCCATAGTGAAGTTTTTGTTATATTGTTAGCCCCACGCAATAGGGGGCGAGTTATTGTTACCTACTATTAATTAATACCTCAATACGACCATTATTATGGCCCATTCAAGATTAGTTCCCATAACGATTACTGCTACAAAGTCGATAAAGAACAGCTGTTCATAAATTATTCATTGATTTATTAATTTTAATATAATTTATTGCATTTATTCTCGTATTTAGATTGGTATGCCGTTATATAATCAATAGCAGACTAATAAATTGTGTGAAGATTATTTGATTAAGGTGAACAAGTACACTTAACCTTCAGTAGGGTATAATAAAAATGAGTGCAACGCATTTTAGGTACAATTAAGGTCATTATGACTTTCATGGTCGATATAATTGACTGGGGCCGTGGTCAGTTTACTAATTGATAAATTCTTATTAATAAGGGCCAATTTTGCTGTCGGTGACAGATTGATAATTTGGATTTTTTTTATTTACACTGACAATTACTTAGGCGGGAAGAATATAGCAAAATTTACTAACATTTTTTTATTTCCGCATTAATAAAAGTTAAACACACCAATAAAAATTTTGGATTGACTAAAATATGATTTTTTGTTAATCTTAAAGCATCTAGTGTCGTGTTTTATTTTTTTATTAATTTATTTTCGGTGTAAACTAGTTACGGTCCTTTGGGAAGACCGTCCCTTTATTCAATTATGTGTAGGGAATTGGTTTAGAATTGAAACAAAAACAATGAAAGTGTATTTATTTACGTTTAATCTTTACAATTGGCGCGTTTAAGTAAGGATTTAAGAAAATATTGTTTGTCTATTTTGTATTATCTTTGATCAACAGTGAGCGGTGCACATTTTAGCTACCGATAATGATATTTTTAATGTTAATAATAAATATAATATAGATAATAATCCTTACTTATATTATAAAACGGAAAGTGAGTTTGTTTGTTTGTTTGTTCCGCCTTCACGCCGTAACTACTAGACCGATTGCTTTGAAATTTTACAGACGTAAAGTTAGAAGTCTGGATTAAATAATAGGGTACTTTTTATCCCGGAAAAATTTGTTATTTCCTAGGAAAAACAAAAATATTGGTATAGATGGCGCTGTATGTACTGGTATAGATGGCGTTGTATGTCATTTAAAACCAGTCAACGAATTACCTACTTATTGGAAAAATCTAAATAGCGCGATATAACCGAATTCCAGGCGAACGGAAAGCTATTTGTTTGTTTGCCTGTCTTAAACGGCCAGGTACTAATTAACGTGATTTTTTAACTGAAGGTAGTTGAAGGGATGGATAGTCTCATAGGCTACTTTTTATCCTTTTGTGGCGCGAGCCAAGCCGCGGGTAAAAGCTAGTATAAATAATATACGAACAACCTTGCAAACATTTTATTGATTTACGATAGGTACCAATTAACATTGTGACTTGCTTACTTGACTTAAGGTTCTTTGTCCCTTAAATGATCCTATGTTCCGTAATGGGCAATTTGATG